TTAGGACGATCATCTGGGTGAATTCCTTATTTACCAAAATCCCTGATTTTAAATCAAATTTTGAAAATATGTGAGCATGTGAAATCTGAGAAAGTAGTGCAATTTAATTTGACAAATGGAATTTATCATCTGCAAGGAAAGTATTCAAAGGTTGGTAATTAATTACTAACCTGAGTTTTTCTTGAATTTGTTCAGCTCTTTTATTTACATAAAAAGCTTCACAAGCCCAAGGAGAATTGGTAGACTCAATCAACTATTCCTCTATAAAGTCTTGTATCTCTAGCTTAGCTTGTTCCAACAGATCTGGGTTTAAACCTCTGTGAGAAGCCTTTGTAGGATTTATGTCCTCATTTTTCTTAAAAGGCAGTTTAAAATAAAAATTTTGGTTTCTCCAGAGTGGGTTGGTATATTTTTTGAGGAACTCAGAGTGGAAATTGGCACTACAGTCTGATATAATTTTTTGCTTGATGGCTTCTAAGGTGTATGGTTGGTGTAAAGTTAGGTTCCTATAATGTAATCCTTTGGAAGTCCATTGAAGTTTTACTTGATGCAAAACATCAAATCTAAGTAAAAGTTCTTTATTGGGCAAATAGGATCCTAAGAGTTTATGTTTACTAGACATAAGAAAGGAGATAGATGCTATGTCTGTGGAAACAAAGGACAGTTTGCAAAAGATTGGCCGAATCAGAAAAAGAAAAAAAAGATAATGCATCTTTTGTCACAGGTTTTAGATGAGGAAATTGATGATGATTTAGAATCTGTGTTTTCTCTTGATGATGAACAAAGTCCAAAAACGTTACTATCCATTTCTTATTCTGATAGTATTGAGCTAAATGAGATAAGCAATACTCTTGTTCCAGAGATATTGTCTCCACAGGATGAAATTTCAGACATAAACAGTTTACCCTACCAGCCTACCCCAATAGCCCTCGTCCAGATACTTCAAGAACACTATTCCAAACCTTTGACCATACCTGCATTTTTTGATGCAGGAGCATCAGCTAGTATCTTAAAACCTGACTTACTACCAAAACAGTTTTGAGAAACATGTAACCAAACTTTTCGAGCTGCTAATGGAGAAAAATTTACCATAACCCAAATTAGCAAACCCATTTTGATAAAACTGTTTCCAAAACTAGTCATGCAATTGTACCATAAAAATAAAACTTCAAGAATGCCACCTGGCTTAGACTGTTTTTCCTTTCCAGAATATCATGTTGTGCCAAATCTCTGCTATCATTTTAATCTTTTGGCTTGTTTTTTTTTCCTTATCATGAGATGTGCAGATATTTTAACCAGAAAAGCTTACTAAAATTTGGTAATTCTAGAATGTGAGCACATGGATTTTCCAAATGAGCTCTTAATTCTGCTCATGATTCACGATCATCATGTTGCGTATTGTTTTCTTTGGAACTTCAATATCACTTTCAGTTTTAAAATCCTTGCATACTTATCTCTTTCTAGGAAATTTAGGATATTTGTATTTATATTACATGGCCAAGAGTTTTTCCACAACTTGAATTTCTAACAAATATGAACTTTCTGTATTGTGACAAACATGTACTTGCTGTATTCAGATGAATTTGAACTTACGAGAAAAAAGTTTAATGCATTCGATGCATAAGTGTATCCATGGAAAGATGTTATGCCGCAGCACATCAAGGCACTATTTAGATTATGCCAATCTGAAGAATCATTTAGTTGTTTGTTGTTTGACTTTGGAGAGAGAGAGCTGTAAAGATTAACAAATATTCTACCTGCAAAGTAATGTTTGCATATGCTTTTGTGCAGCAGGTCCTGGACAAAGTTATAATAAAATTTTTGAACAGAGGAGATTGGAAAGGCTTAGCCGTTTGGAACGAAGTGGTATGTTTTTTATGTTGCTCTTTTACAGACTACAGAGGAATGCATCACTTTTACTATATGAGTTTCCATTTATTTTTAGTGAGGACTTCTACCATGGACTCTTTCTACTAACTTACATTTTAAACTTCAACAGGTCGTGAGCTTGTTGTGTCATGGGCATTATGTGCAGCTTGCCTTCTCGGACACACGTCTCATATGTTTGGTGCCAATGCGGCCTCATGGATACATGCATTTCATTCTACAGGATTCCACATGTCATTGTCTTTGGTTACTTTGCTTGGTCCTGGTCGCCAAATTATTCTTGATGGTATAAGGAGCCTTTGGAAGGGAGCTCCCAATATGAACACTTTAGTTGGCCTTGGGGCTATGTCTTCCTTTGCAGTCAGTTCTATTGCCACCTTCATTCCAAAACTAGTATGTAGTGATATTCCTCTTTCTGCTTGGTCCAAATCTGGCAGGCTATGGATGTGTTTTACTGGATGCATGTGAAATTTATTTTTTATTGTTAATTTTTAACTATATGTGTAATCTTCTTCCTCTTTAGGGTTGTATAAACCATGCTGTGCATGCATACTTACATCTTTCTATGTTAGGATTATTGATTTGTAAGCACTGGACTTACATGGGGACATCTAAGGCATTTCTTTTATTGCAACTATAAAGAAATCCTATTGACCAAACCATAATCAAAAACTTTTTTCTAGTTGTTCTAAATTTTAGCATATCAGTGCAGTTGAACAGGGTTCACGTGGATTGTGTCCATACCCTACATCTTTACTGCAACAACCTTAGGTCCTATCTGGACATGTGGATAAGCACCACACAGAGTGGGCTTGTCTGTGATGGAGGAAAATTTCCTTTTCATAAAGATGGCCAAATAGGCAATATGTACCATTTTCCACAAGTTCTTGTGGAAAATTGTAGGTAACGGCAGTAAAAAGAGTGGCTGCGAACAGCTCATTAGGACTTTTATGTATAAGATTGCGGAGTTGCCATCTATATGCACATCCAGACAGGAATTTATTCATGCGTTGTTTACTGACTAAAAAAAATACTCGTGCGAATGTAAGGGTTCCTGATTCCTACAGTGACTGGCAATTCATATCTTGCTTTGTTGTTCATACATGTAATGGCACATGTTCTACAAAGGCATTGGGATTAAAATTTAGAGTTTCCTGAGAATTGCAAACATCCCATTCAAGCCCTTCAGGATGTTCCTTGGAGTGAGTTAATTTCTTGAGTACATACATGGAAGGGTTTGAATACTTCTCATATCGTGACTAGGAACCAAATGATCTCATCATTTGTGATTCTTAGACTCCATGGAAGCTTACAAAAATGGTAGAGTCATGTTTTGGTGAAGATCAAGGGTATACAGGACACTAACTTTTATTTCTTAAGAGCATACACTGTACCTAATATTTTCATTAAGATATTATTAACCATAGAACAACTAGGAAATATTACCATTTCAAAGTATGAAAGATGGATTTTCGCTTCCTAGTGCAGCTACTTCTTGTGACTCAAAAATGTTTCATGAATTCTATTCATGTGTTGTTTTCAAAAAAACACTTTGAAAATTGTTTGGCCGAGTTTGAAATCTGATACCTTCATTACAATAGTTGTACAAGGACATTAGCATTACTTGATCTTATCTGAAATGACTAGCTTTTTGAGACTGTTGCTATATCAACTTGCCTGGGTTAAAGTGTGTCCAATATATGTTATTTATGTCCAATATATATTATTTATGTTAATTATAGAATGTAAAGACAATTCTAAATATTATGCTATGCGAGAAAGCATGACACTGCAGGTGCCGATAATTGCTGGTGAGCCTAGTATCCATGTATGCCTTGTTCATAGAGGCCATTAAAGGTTTCAGAACATGCAGTTGTTTTTATTGGTGTTATTTCTAGTAAATGTTTTTTAATATCTTCTCAATATAGATGGTTTGTTGTGCTTGCAGTTATGTTTTTCTTTTATTTGCTGGCATATTTCTGCTGTTGTTCATTTGTTCATCCATCTTCTCTTTGGATGCTCCTTTCACATGAACTACAAAAGCAATCCTTTGTACATTCAAAGTTGAAAGCTAAGTTTCTGAAAGCTACTGAGTTGGGTTCTTTTCTGACCCAGGGTTGGAGAGCATTCTTTGAGGAACCAATTATGTTGTTGGCTTTTGTTCTCTTGGGAAGAAACCTTGAGCAAAGGGCAAAACTGAAGGCTGTCAATGACATGACTGGACTTCTGAGTATTATTCCAAAGAAAGCTCGTCTTATGGTTGATAGCAATGTTGTTGAAGTTCCATGTGATAGTCTGACTATAGGAGACAAAGTTGTTGTTCTTCCAGGAGTGAGTAAAACTATCTGTTTTCCTTGATCTGTTGATGTTTGTTTATGCGTATGTTACGACTTAACATCGTGAGGCTCGAGTGCAAGGCCCCTACTTTTGTCCCTTATATTTCCTTAAATTTAGGTTATTCTAAAATTTTTAATATTGGTTGTCTTTAGATTTTCATCTAGATTGAATAATTGAACTGGTGATGAGGCTCATCACATTGTGATTTGCCTATGTTAATAAAATTGGGTTCAGTATTTCAATTTTTTATTGGTTAGAACTTTTTTTCTCATGTGGGATAGAAGATGGTAGACTTGAATCTTTTGGTGTGTGAGTTGTTTTGATGAATAGGGTAGCAATTGGGTTGGTTAGTTTTAAAGAGAAATATAAATTATGTTTGGTTAGGATAAGGCTTACAATGAAGTGGTTTGATAAGGTCTACGTGAGTTCAATGAGGTAGTTTGATGCGGTCCATGTGAGTTTTAAAGAGAGAGAGAGAGAGTAGTTTTTTGTGGGTTTTATTTATTTATTTATTTTTTCTACGTGTATTTAAAGAGGAGATGTCCCTTCTTTGTAAATAGAGTGATTGGTGATTCAGTAAAGAGTTTGATCTTGTGAACAGATCTTGGGATGGACTCCCTTGCAGACACAGAGAAAGGGTATAATCTCTCAAAACCTTTTTTATTTTATTTCATTTTGTAGTTATTATTTTTCCCTGCATCAATTGGTATCAGAGCTTTGAGATCCCTGCTGATGTAGTTATGGAGAGCTTAGATCAAATATTTGAGCGATTGGATCAAAGAGAGACTCAAAGACGACCTAGTAGAATGTATTAGTAAAGTAATAGAACAATTTCTATGCGATCTATTTCATAGATTGCAATCGGAGGAAGATGACAAAGAGCATGAAGAGGTAACTCTCAGTGCAAAAGATATTGACAATTATGAAGAAGAAAATATACTAGTTGCCATATGTGAAATACAACCCTTTGAGATTAAAGGAAAATTCCAAAATTCGGTAGTTCAAAATTCCTCAACAAATTGCACTGCTAGTGTCTACTCAGTTGGCTCATAAAAAAACGACAAACTACCGAGAAGAATGGTCGGACTACATCTCCAATTATTTGATTGGCCTTTGAAGGATGTAAGCTTGAGGTTGAGCTTCTCCCAACCCTGGGAGAATGATGCAAATAAAAAAATTAGAAAATTTAAATTTTTGCTATTGTTATTTCTTTTTTTTATTGGTTAAAATACTTTTTTCTCATGTAGGATAGAAGATGGTGGACTTGAATCTTTTGGTGTGTGAGTTTTTTTGGTGCAGGAGTTGTTTTGATGAATAGGGTAGCAATTGGTTGGTTAGTTTTAAAGAGATAAATATAGATTATATTTGGTTAGGATCATCATCATCATCCTAGCATTTTCCCAATTAATTGGGGTTGGCTACACAAATCCTGGTCCGCCATTCTACTATCTTAAAGGCCATACCCTCAGCGAGGCCATAAGTCCCCATAACTTTTTGGACTACTTCCATCCACGTCATTTTGGGTCTACCCCTTGCCCTTTTCAATCCTTCCACTTGATCTAACTCGCACCTCCAAACAGGTGTTGTACTTGGTCGGTGCCACACATGGCCAGCTCACCTAAGTCTACTCTCTCCCATCTTATTGCCTATTTGTGCCACACCTAAATTCTCCCGAATGGATTTATTTCGAATTCTATCCTTTCTTGTCTTACCACTCATCCATCTCAACATCCTCATCTCTGCTACACTCATTTTATGGATATATTGTTTTTTGTTCGCCCAACATTCTGCCCTATAGAGCAAAGCTGGTCTCACTGCTACCCTATAGAAGTTGCCCTACAACTTCATTGGTATGCGGCGATCACATAAAATTTCAGTTGCACATCTCCATTTTGCCCACCTAGCTCTAATTCTGTGTGCGACATCTTCCTCAATCTCTCCATTTTCTTAGATTATCGACCCAAGATATCGAAAGGTCTACATGAGTTCAATGAGGTGGTTAGGATAAGGCTTACAATGATGTGGTTTGATAAGGTCTACGTGAGTTCAATGACGTAGTTTGATAGCATTCACATGAGTTTCAGAAAGAGTTTATTTTTGTGGGTTTTTTATTTATTAAGTGTATTTAAAGGGGAGATGTCCCTTCGTTGTAAGTAGAGTGATTAATGACCAAATAAAGAGTTTGATCTTGTAAAAAGATCTTGAGATGGACTCTCTTGCAGACCTAAAGAGAGGGTGTAATCTCTGAAAACCCTTTTTATTCTATTTTATTTTCTTTTATTATTTTTCTCTGCATCAAAACTTGGGTTTGTGTTACCTTCTGTGGATTTTTCATCTTTTTTTTGGCTCGTAGGATTAATGTCGGTCCATAGGAAGATGATTTTCAAGATTTTATGGTATTTACCAAAGTTTAGAGACATGGACCGGGCCACTTGTATATTGATTCTACCCACATAGTCCAAGTAGGCGATTTTAAGATTTAAGATAGTATTGGGAAAGACCATTTTGAGTAGTAATTGAACTTTTTCCTTTTTTGTCATTTTCTGATGCAATTCATGCAAAGCTTCATATATTTCATAATTTATGAATCTATTCATTTGAATCATCCATAGAACATTCATTCCATCCATCCATGCATAAGAACAGTGCTTACAATCCTCCAAGGAAATGCTAAAAAATATAATGGAATTTTATAATGCGTAATGTATAGATCTTCTATTCGTAGAAAAAGAATGTAAGCCAAAGTTACACTAGCATTTTGAATGAAAGAAACGGCTACAAGCTATAACCAAGGTGATCATTGTGGGGAATTGTCTAAGTTCATCTACTATGCTTGTACCCTTTCATCTCTAAACCGTGACAACCCTAATCATGATTCATGGCAACCTGAATCATGTCTGGCTGCCACTAGTGCCCTTCCCAAAGTATCCAAGCAGAGAACTCTCTGCCACGATCAGTCAATCATCATCTCGTTCACCACCAATGCCAACATTCTTGTCAACTTTAATGTCTTAACAATTTCTTCTTTCTCAGTCTTCTTGTGTTACTAAGGTTGCCATCTGTTGGTTGATGGACAAGCTTTTTTGGGTGCATCAATCCAAGTTCTTTAATTATCTGCTTGTTTAAGACTGATTTTCTCTCTCCATTAGTATTTCCTTGACGGAGTCCTCAATAAATATATAATCCAATCTCTTTGGTTTGCAGTCTCACAGTTCCGTCAGTGGCCTCTTCCTCATATGCTCAATGGGTAACGAATGCAGACTAAAATCGCTATGAGCCTCGTCTTCCCTGTGTGGATTAGTTGGAAAGTGCCCTAGATTCATTTACTCATGGAAAAAGAGCAGTTCTAGCTGAGAGTATGAGTTTTGAAAGATGTCCCTCCATCCTTGCTTTAGAAGAGTGATAGGTCTCCTTGTTTCTAGATGAACAAATGGAGAAAATAACATAGAAAGGCATTATCAGTGGGCCCAAGTGCCCAACATAAGCCTTCAGGTCTCAATTGAACCAGTTGTTGGCTTAAAATTTGAAGGGTCTTTCGACCCTTTGTTTAAATAATGTTCTTTTAGTCCTCACAACATGGCTTTAGCTTTGGAGTGTAGCTTTGGGGCATAAAATCCAAGGTTATCTGAAGTTGGGTGAAGTATGTTATAGTGATTGGTCAGGAGGAGTCGTTTGTTATGCATAGCCTTATCAGTTTCAGCTTTTTGTTTCAAGAAGTTATTTTCTCAACGTTTACTTTTAACTGTTGACCGGAAGATCCAGCCTAAAGTCTATGGCTGTAGACGCTTAGATTATGATTTACAGTAGCAAGAACTGGGGTATCTGGCAAGCATTAGAGAAAGCTTAAAGAGAAACTCATCTAGAAGTGTCTCTCTGCTCGTTTCTTTGCATATCTCGTGCTTGTTACTGAGCAATTCCTAATCAATGGACTTGTACTCGAAAACAACTCTGGTACCACCCTACTTTCAATTTCAGATTCTTACATTAACATCTTCTTAGATAATCTATGAATTTTTCTTTTGGACTTATTTAATAATCATTATTCTCTCACATTGATTTATGATTTCCTGCTTGTCTTCCTCTTTTTGCTGAACATAAGAAACCTATGCACTTATAGCCATTTGGCTTCGAGAATAGTTAGTCCCACAGTAGGAACCTCACTGCTACAAGGGAGAACTGGGATGGGTTTGAAAAGGTTGAAACTTCTCGTGTCTATAAAGACATTTGGTTTCCATTAAATGGGAAAATAGAAGGTAACCTTAATTACTGTTACAAAATTTCCTTTCTTCTAATTTTATTAGTATTCCTTTTCTGATCATACCATTGGTGTCTCTTTAACTTCCGTTATTTAGGATCGTGTTCCCATTGATGGAATTGTGACAGCTGGTAGAAGCACTGTTGATGAATCCAGTTTCACTGGAGAGCCTCTTCCAATAACCAAACTCCCAGGGGTATATTTTCTTTCTTTTGTTTCTTTTTTTGTTCTTTATTGCAATTTTTTACCATAATCACATATTTTTTAACCATTGTGTTATTGTTCTTGTAGCAATAGTTTTTCCAATTTTATACTCCTGTTTTTATCTTTCTAAGAGTCGCTTTTGTCCTAGACTGAAGTTACTGCTGGAAGCATAAATATTAATGGCACACTGACAGTAGAAGTAAAAAGACCTGGAGGTGAGACTGTTATGGGGGACATTGTCCGCTTGGTTGAAGATGCTCAGAATAGGGAAGCTCCTGTACAACGGCTAGCAGATAAGGTCCTTTGAGCCTCCCATGTTTCCAGGGAATATAAATTTTAAGGTTCCCAATTTTATTACCTGGAAAATTTGTGAGAATCATTAGCTGTCACTTCAAGTATTGTAAGATAAATTGAGCAAGTATCATTGTAAAGTCCTGGTTAGACTGAAAAAGCATTCTTTCAGTGATCATTATGTTATTCAAAGTCCTGAGATAGTCCCCGTGGCAGACGAATGCTGCCTAGGACTGCTTTATATGATTGTTTTCATGTTCTGACATGACATTCCCTAAAAATTTGGGCTTTGAGAAATGTGCACCTGTGTTTTGTTAGTGTAAAACTTTCATTAATGTTGATCAAGGTTGCAGCTTGATAAGCAAAGTTTTGTTTGGAATAAACACTAATGCATTTATTTCTGTCATCTTGGTCATTTGCTGGTACAACCGCCTCGTTATCTTTGTTATGATCAAAAGGAATATTTATTATGACACCAGGTTGCTGGTCGCTTTACCTATGGAGTCATGGCCCTTTCAACTGCTACTTTTCTATTCTGGAATTTGTTTGGTTCAAAACTTGTACCAGCTATCGTCCAGCAAGGAAGCCCAATTTCACTGGCGTTGCAACTATCCTGCAGTGTTTTGGTAGGGCACATTTTTTTGCACGTCATTACCAATGCTTTTTTGAATCTCCTTTTAATAAATGTAATTGTCAACTAAGTTCACATTGGCATGCTGGAAGCATGATTTCTCTTTCCCTGTAATATAAATCATTATCAGCATGTGCTTATCCCCTTTTTTTGTTGAATTCGTTTATGGAGGATATGGAACTCTTACTATATCGGCTTTTAATGTATTTAGAAGCAACATTTGTTGAAGAACTTTGTCACAGCATTGTCACATTATGACATTTCAGCACCCAAACTTAGAACTCCTGATGGGCTCTTGTAGGAAATTGTCTATCCACCATTCCCATTCACTCGCAAGGACTTTCTGCCAGCATTTCTGCTGACTAAGGTTGAGAAATTTTCTTGGATTTGTGAAATTCATTCTCATTTGTGAGAAAAGGGGGTGCTTCTTTGTGTGCAATCATGTAATCGATGCAAATACCCTTTGATTTGTTGACAACGAGTATTTAACCTTCCTTATGGCCACATACATTAAAAATGATGCTATAGTTTGTGTGTTTTTGGTTTTGGATTTTCTATATCTTTTGTTTCTTTCCAATTGAAATTTGGGTGATGGGTTCCATATTTCAGTTTTTTCCACTTTGTAAGATTTTGTTTTTGTTAGCTTTGTACTATCTCCAAGTATTTTAATTTTGAAATGTGAATTTCTATGTGATTTGGGCTTTGCTATGGTCCTTCCTGTGGTTATCAGCTATTGAACCTGGTTCAGAATTTGTTCTCCAGATTGTGTCTATTTAACTTTTCAAAATTGGTGTTGATTTATTGCGATATTTAGTTCTGTTATATCATAATTCTCTTTCATAATCACTTGACACATCCATATTGAGTTTTTTATTTGGTAATGGTGTTCCTACTTTGTATAGTGAAGGCTTTGCAATTTTTACTTCTTGATGCTTCTTTAGCAAAGATAGTGCTTTTAGTTGTCTTCATTAGACTTTGTTTGCTTCAGTAGATGTGCTGACTGCTATTGAAGACAAGCATATTTTGCTTTCTCCTACCATTTTATACTTCGAAGTTTCAGGTTCTCATTTATTGAAGTGCAGGTCGTTGCATGCCCTTGTTCACTTGGCCTGGCTACACCTACTGCTGTACTGGTACATTTTTGTCAGAAGTGTAACCCTCACTTATTGGTCCAACTTTCATATTTGTGATAACAACAATTATTTGATTTATTGCTCCATTTGGTTACTTTTGCCTCCTAAAGGTTGGAACTTCGCTAGGGGCAACTAGGGGATTGCTTATACGTGGGGGTGATGTATTAGAAAAATTTGCATTGGTCAACACAATTGTATTCGACAAAACAGGGACTTTGACAGCTGGAAGGCCTGTTGTAACCAAAGTTGTGACTCTGGAACAGGAGCACTTGCACTTTTCTCAGTTGAGTTTAAGAACTTATATTCTTCTTTGCAGTGTATATTTTATGATGGTTGCTTGTGCTGTAATTTTCTTTCATTTAATAGTGAGGGAGGATCTTGTGAGGACATTTGAGTATCGGGCTCCGAGTTTTGATGTAATATTTGTTAAAAGAAACCCAGTTACAAAAAACTTGAATGCTGACATAATAGAATTGTTCTTTGACCTTCGATATAAATTGAACGTTTCAATGCCCTTTGTCTCCATCACTACAAGAGAAATAGCTTTGAAACCTTGGAACAGAAGTACTCTTAAATTTGGTTTATGTCAATTCACTGCATTAGATTAAATACTAAATTTCTTAAATAGTTTAAAGGTGATATTAAACATTAAAAAACCTCAGGAGAATCTGAAGATCAATACATCAGAGTTGCTCAATTCACATGTCCTTTGATACAGGAATCGTACGTCTTGTACATGGTCAGAGCATGAGGTTTTAAGATTAGCTGCAGCAGTTGAATCAAATACAAATCATCCCATTGGTAAGGCTATTATTGAAGCAGCCCAAGCTGCTGGTTGTCAATACGTGAAGGTAATTTTCTTCCATTTTTTCTGGGTAAATGTTCAACTATAAGTCTATTTAAAACTAAAAGCACTTCCAACTTATTGTTTTTGGCTTGATAAATTCATGCGGAATATTTAACTCTGGTATCTAATCAACAGGATGTTATGTTTATGTGTTGCAATTCTTTCTTTGAAGATTTAAGCGGTGTTATTCCATTTATTTTTACAGGCAACAGATGGAACATTTTATGAGGAGCCAGGATCAGGTGCAGTGGCTACCGTTGAATATAAAAGGGTTGCAGTTGGGACGACAAGCTGGCTTCAGAGGTTTGTGGTTTTTTTTAAAGGATAAGATCAAGCCGTCCATAATTTATGATAGCATATGATAATTAAGCAGCTCAAAAACCATGATGACTTCGGGATACACTATAGATTCATTTAGCGAAAAATAGGACGTTGAACCTGTGATTGAATTAAGGGAAATTATACTATACTCCAATGGACTATATAAAACCGATTCTATTGGGTCATACATCTGTTGAAATGGACGGTAGTTTTGGGCTTGGGCTCGGGCTCGGATGGCAAAGGTGTTGATATTGCAACACCATGTTCCAAGATTGGATCCTGCCACCAATACCCAAAAAAAAAAAAGCAAAAGAAATAAAGCATTTCTGTGAGAGAGTGAGATCACGCGGGAATCCCGTTCTTTGTCCATCACCTTTTAGTCATTTCAATGGAAATAATGACCCAATGGACCGTCGCTTTTCCATAGTCTTCTACTATAGCATAATTTCCTATAGGAAAGCCCCCCAATGGACAATGTGTTGGTCCATTTCTAGAGTGTTGGTCACACCCCCATAAATCATGTTAGCTCTTGATTTCTTGCAGCATTTGTTGGGTCATTTGAGTGCTTAGGAAATCCGGACTCGGGCTTTGACTCACCTGGGGCCTGAGTCCAAGTTCTGCAGTCTGACAGGTGAATCCGAAATTGGACCAGGCACTTTTGAAATGAAAGTTTTGAAAATTATGAAAAAATGGGTGATTCAGGTGATTCTGGAGTTCTTCTGCCCAGAGCCACCCAGCTTGTGATCGATTCTAAACAATGGACAATTGAATTTGAGCTCTTAAGCTGTGGACCTGATGGTCCAATAGATGGACAGTCCATGGTCATAGCCATCCAAGAAATTAACAATGCTTTGGGAATCAATGGTGGGCAAAATGACAGCATGATCCATAGGAAATTTTTCCTTCCTTCTATTGGATCTGTCATACATTAATTCTCTAAATTTCTAGGAACACGAATGTTGATTTTGTGCCACGCTTGTGTTGGTGTGTTTTTTATGTGCTTCAGAAGTGAACCAGGACTTACTAATATGAGTCCAGGCCAGGATCATTTTGGCTTAAAATAAAGCATTTTGAGAAGAAATGAGAGCCTTCTTCAAAATCAGAAATAATCTCATGGTTTATATGTGTATTTATGTCTTCATGCAGAACATAACTGCAAAAATTTATTTTGTTTTCTTTTGTTTTCGGGGAGCAGACAGGGAGTTGATAAAGGTTCATTGCCAAATCTAGAGGAGAATAATCAATCTGTGGTCTGCGTAGGAGTGGATGGCACTTTAGCTGGTCTTGTGTATGTTGAAGATAAGATTAGAGAAGATGCCAATCAAATGGTTGAATCTCTCAGTAAGAAAGGAATAGATGTTTACATGTTGTCTGGTGATAGAAAACAGACTGCTGAATATGTTGCAACCATGGTCGGCATTCAGAAAGAAAATGTAAGTAGGCCATCACCAGCTTCAATGACATGCATTTTATCGTAATCTTTGAGAAAGTTCATTTTTGTCAATTCACTTCGAAAATTTGGTGTTGCTATTATCCCTAGTTGGTCAATTGATGATTGTTTCTCTTAACCCAAAAGTATGATTGGTTATTTTTCTTAATTGTTTTTTATATCACCATTATATATTAATAATTAAAAGCTTCATGTTACATCATATTCACTGTTGTATGCTGGTTCACAAAAGTAAATGTTATGCTCTCCATATTCTCAGTGCAATAGGCCCTTGAACTTGTAACAATCTATATAGCGTGCAATTGCAGAACCTCATTCTACCCCTCTGATTTTACTGTTCATTTAATGTTGTTATCTGATATATGGTTCTTAAAGAGCATTAAATGGCATGACAGGGAGCGAAAAAAACTATAGCACCTGGGTCTCTTGGGTCAATCTGACTTTTGGCAGCCCACTTCCCTAAGATTTTGCAATGTTCATCCTTTAAGGCTGGCTTATTGTCATAGGATCATAATCATCTTTTTAATTGGATAGTTATTTTTGAGATGGAAAAAAGTGAGGTAAAGTTCCCCACAAGAACTTATTGTAGACCAGTCCTACATACCCGTACGTGCACAAACACATAGTAAAGTGATTTTGATTGCGTTAGACCTGAAATATACTAAAAAAAGAAGCTTGTAGGCTTGAATGTATACCAGGAAGATGAGTTCTTCAATGCCATTATTTAACTCATGAGGGTTGGACATATAATCCAATGTAAAAGACATAGCAAAGACTAAGAAGTTCCTAAGAAAAAGAAGAAAGCATACGATATAATCAACATTTCTCAAAAAAAGAAGGAAGAAAGCATATGATATACAGAATTGTAGCACAGGATTTGAACAATATATTTTTGAAGTAATTTTCAGTGGAGTGCACATACAGCCCAGAATTTAATTATGTAGCATGGATGTGCTTCCAGTGACCACATAACCTTAGCTAAGGAAAGCAAAAATTTGAAACTGTAGTGTTAATAAAGCATAGTGGGCATTGTGGATGAAAATATATGGCACTTACATTGGCCTCAGGAAAAGGTTTACACGGAACCGAGGCTCTAAACAATCAAATTAGAGCCCACCTAAAAAATTTCACTAGAAGAGGTTGTTTTGATGCCCAAATATCTTCAAATTGATCATCTCCAGATCAATATGCATGGACATGAGAAAAAAATGGATTTCAAGTTTTGGAGATAGTGCATCTTGCAATGCATTTTTGTACCATCAATTTTCAAGATTTTCAAGTTTTAATAGATCTGCTCAATCTACACTATTTTTTGGTCTTTAAATATTATAATTAATAATGGAAATATATTTTAAGGCTATCACAAAGATTTCCAATATTGGAACTACATTTCTCGACACTATTTGAAGGTGCGCTTTACTTTGATTGTTTAGAGCCTCGGCTCTATACAAACTGCACCCTTTTTTTATGGCTATCTCTTTGTACTTATTGCTTTATACTCAATACAACAGTTAACAGCTTCAAAATACATAACTTTTATTCTTTATGGAAAAGGGGAAGTATACTAATAATCCAATGGGACCATGTAAACCATGTAAAATCTGTTATCCATTGGTTCATCACCTTGCAATGAAGTGGACAGAGATAGATAAAGTTTGAGGGACCAACCAGAATAAGATGTGACCATAAGTGGATCCCACTCTCTATGTATCGCTTTGATGGATGGTGATGACCCAGTGGACTATTGTTTTCTCCGTCCATTAGATGGTATACCTTTCCTTCTGAGAAAGTAATGTGCTTTATGTGATGGAAATAATTCGTGAGTCTGGCAGGTGCTTGCTGGAGTGAAACCGGATGAAAAAAAGAAATTCATTGGTGAACTTCAAAAAGAGAAAAGAGTGGTGGCAATGGTTGGTGATGGTGTCAACGACGCCGCTGCCCTTGCATCAGCAGACGTCGGAATCGCAATGGGAGGAGGGGTAGGGGTTGCTAGTGAGGTGTCTACTGTTGTACTTATGGGCAATAAATTATCACAGGTAGTAAGCAGTGTTCATTTACCTTGGAGTTTGCAAGTTAATATTAAAATGAGGGAAATGTATGGAAAATCCCAGTTTATTATCAGAATTTGGAAAATAGTCCTCATATTTATATTTTATGCTTAAGTCTCACTTTTTTACAGCATTGCATTCGAATTTTATTTTCTTCTATGTATTGGGTTAAGCTCAAATGTTGGGTGTTTGTGCTTCTCACCATCACACATCTGTAAAAACATATTAAAACATAATTCAATGGAACAAAAGGACAAAAATACCCTTACAAGTTCCAGGGGCATTGTGGTCATTTATTTATTTCAAATTAGTTTTCTCTTGTATTTTTTTCAGGTGTGTGATGGTGTGAAATATGGACGCCACAAATTTGAGCTTAAACCAATGTATAGAAAAAGTTAAAATACAATATACAATAGAAAAAAGTGGGACTTGGGCATCAAAATATGAAATGCAGGGGACTGGTTTTAAATTCCAATGGATTTTTCCATAATTTTCCCTAAAAATTAGAAATAAGCATCTGTTATGAAAATATCAGATAAGCGATATTGTAGAATTTTCTTACGTTATTTTTTTATCGATATTTCTTTTTTTTTAGTTTTTCTTTCTTTACTTTTATTTGCTTCTTAGTTTCTCTGGGAGTTTCTTTAGAAATAAGTTACGTATTAAAAGAGATTTTCTACAAACTGCACTGTCAACAAGTTCTCTTTCATGAAATTTTTCAGTGAAGAACATAAAGATGTTTGAAATAACATGCCATAAACACTAGGGAAAAGTTTATATAGAACTAAGGCTCTAAACAATCAAATTAGAGCCTACCTTAAAAATTTCAATAGAAGAGCATTTTTTGATGCTCAAATATGCTCAAATTAATCATCTTGACGTCAAGATACATGGACATGAGAAAAAATGGATTTTAAGTTTTGGAAATAGTGTATTTTGTAATGCATTTTTGGACCATCAATTTTTAAGATTTTCAAGTTTTCATAGATCTGTCGATCTAGACTATTTTTGAAGCTTTAAACATTATAAATAAAGATGAAAATATATTTTAAGGCTATCACAAAGATTTCCAATGTTGAAACCACATTTCTCAACACTATTTGAAGGTAAGCTCTAATTTGAATGTCTATACAAACCGCACCTTAAACACTAATCTTAAATGGCCAAAATATTTTTTTGTGGAACGCTGAGGTGACTGGATCTTCATAATGGTTTATGTGCCTTAATTTTTCACTATAGCTTTTATACATAAACTTTGCATTTTCCAGAACACGTCAGCTGACAGAACAGTGTCTCCCCACTTTTAAGATTATGAATTGTGAATCTTTGCTAACACTCACTTACTTCTGCCAGTTGCTTGATGCCCTCGAATTAAGCAGATTAACCATGAAGACAATCGAGCAAAATCTTTGGTGGGCGTTCACATACAATATTGTAAGTTCCTTTTCTTTTATAATTTGTTTAAAAATATCTTTACCTATCTGTCTAAAAATTTTTGTGAGTAAAACTGTGATTTTCTCAATCACATTTGAGCAGCTGTAAGCACTATGTGAAGTTTATTGGATCCTTATTGCTTACCAGTATTCTTTCAGACTTAACAGTTTGTTGCTGTTGTGCTTTCCAGTTTACATGATTATACTCATCCGTTATATAAATACTATTCCTTTTCCTGATGGAAAAATACAAGAGCATTGTATTCCCCAAGATTGACATCTTCTTAACATAGCTGGCCACAATGTGACAATCTTGAGGACTATTGTAAATGTCAAAAGAAAACAGCTCTCTAAATTGACTGGAATAGTTTGTACAATTTACATGATATAAGCTCTATGATTTGATTGGTTTCCTTCTATTTTGAATAGTTATTGTTGGGGGTGTTTCATTCTTTTACATTGAACTTTCACACTTACTTTTTGCTTTTATTGATATCCGTGTAATGTTTGTGCCACGGACTGGTTCTTGCTAATCATGCTGAGTTGATGGATGGTTTTGCAGGTTGGCATACCCATAGCGGCTGGACTATTATTACCAGTGACTGGGACAATGTTAACCCCATCCATTGCAGGAGCTCTAATGGGCTTGAGCTCATTAGGTGTCATGTCAAATTCGTTGCTTTTGAAGCTCAAGTTTGGACTAAATTATAAACCAGAATATTCAACTTCACATCACAAAACTAAGTCTCAGGATGATATCATTATTGAGCACAAAAAGATGGAGGAAGGATATCCTGCTAAGTGGAGAAACACATAAAAGTACTGATTATTTATTTTATCACTATCAGGGAAATAAAACTAATGCTATTTAGAGTTTTTTGATCTGTGAAAAGTAGAATTCATTGTTCTTTTTTGTTCGTATATTTTGTTATTTTGTAACCTCACGAAAAAGAAACGATTCTGGTTCTGTTGTAATTCTTTGTAATTTAAACTGAGACGAAAATTCGGCTCCTTTGGAAGTTCTTCATTCAATGCAACATAGAGTCTTTGATCTATGAGAATGGCTAGAGGGTGTGGAAATAGAATTTGATTTCTGCTTAGCAATAAGTGTATAATTTATACCTAATCTCTCGTTGTATCAACTCCAGGCTTCACTCGGTTTGAACAGACTTATTAATTAAATATTCCATTCTTGATTAAGGATGCATTTATGAGTAAGATGTAAATGTCTCATCCATCTCTCTCACTAATGCCAAGGGCCGTTCTTTTTCTGCATGTTAAAACTTCCCATGCCCCTAAAATGCCTGTATTTCCAAATCTCATTGATAGTAAATAGGAATACCATATAAGGAGATCGTTTACTTTTGGGTTGGGTTTGTATAACGTGCTCACCTTATTTTGTGTAAGGTACACTTCTAAATATTGTCGGAAGATGTAGTTTTGGTGTCAAAAATCTTACAACCCTAATTATTAAATTTAAATTTAAAAATAGTGCAAGTCGAATAGAGCTATAAACATGTGAAAATCTGAAAAAATAGATGGTCTAAATGACTTGTTACAAGATATATTATTTTTAGGACTTGAATTTTTTTTTCTTTAATATCAATAAATCTTGACAGCACGGTGACTAATTGGAAGAATTACCAATTTCAAAACTTTCCCATTAGATTTTTTAGGTGCACCTTGTCTTTATTGTATAAGGATGCAGCATTTTATAAACTTTTTGCTCTTTTAGTACAAAAAGGTCATAATCATTTTATCTGTCAAATTTTAAATCGAGTGGCTATAAGAGTATCATTGACTACACTTGACGTTCATAAAAAAAATTTATTGACACTTTAAGCCTTTCAATTCGACATTTAATGGTAGAAATAATTGTGGCCTCCTTGTAACAATAGTAAATGGCCTCATAGTATACTATCCAAATAAATATGGGATTGTCCAAACTCTTGCTTAGTATAATTTACTGTCCAAATTGGCAAATAAGATTCGCCCTTCTTTTGTGCATGTGCAAGTATGTGGGCGTGTGTGAGAGAGAAAGGGAGGGTCGAATGTATATAAAATTTATTTTCTTTCAAACAATAAACTACACTTAAATTTAATTGTAAGTTTATATGTACAATTAGGCATGTTAAATAAGCGAGAACCTAAACGTGAAAAACGTTCAAGATCATCTTGATCCTAACTTGAATTAAGAAGAACGATACATAAATCATTTCAATTCCCCTAAACAATCTTCTTCAAATTTCCCAAACCAAAGAACGCAGAGAGAACCATACACCTTTAAAGAAGGGTGAGATTTGTATAACGTGGCAACTTTAAACAATCAAAGTAAGAAACACCTCTAAACTTTGTCATAAGATGCAATTTTAGTGTAAAAATGTTTTAGAATGACCAGAAAATCTACTTTTTAAAATGACCAGATAATCTATTTGGGACTTTAATTTTTTTTTTTTGCTATATCTATGCATTTCATGTCTATACATCTCAATGTCATGATCAATTGGATGGTTTTCCAATCTTAAAATAGTCTTTTCTGATGGCGTCTTGATGTTCACCTTAATTTTATAATCTAAGGCATCAACCTGATATAAACTTTTTCCTTTAAAGAACATCTCCTGGGAAATTGTATTGCAGTAAATTTCTGAGAGATTTTTTTGTTATCGACAATAGTTGTTAAGTATTACTGTCTATGAGTGTGGTGGCATGCTTCAGTAAAAACTCAAAGCGCAAGCATCATCACGCATACAAAGTTCAAATAATTGGATGTCCAACACATTGCTAATTAAACAATTATTAGACAACGCATTAAGATGACGAACAATGAAACCATTACATGCATGTACTGAACCAGTAAACAAGGGTACCTCAAAAAATCCCCGTATCTTCCTCAAGGCCTTATAACAAAAATATCCAACAAATAATACTCATGCCCCAAAAAGGCTATAGAACAAGCTTTTTCTCTTTAGGGTGGCTATAGAACAAGAATTGTTTCAACAACAATAAGAAAGACCCAATACAACATTGAGCAAACACTTACACGAGCTCTGTTGCCCTCAAGAGAAACCCAACCCAATCTGTTGCCCTCAAGAAAAACCCAAGCTGCACAATTTGGTTTTCTCCAAAACTTAAAGCTGGTCCAAATCTGCACAAATCATGAAGGCCCTCTGAACCAGATTAAAAAGCTATCCTCGCCTTGGGCAGCTTCATAGAGAACCATGGCAGCTTGGATTTCAAATGCCAGTCAATCTCCTCCTCAAACCATGTAAGTCATCCCAACTTGCATCAAATTAGTGTGGGGCACACTCAATGTAGCGATGCCCGCTCTGCAATTCTTCCTCAAGAATGCATAGAAGTAGTTTATCGCCAACTTCTTAATAAACCAAGAATCTTTCCTTGCCCTTATATCCCCATGACCCATGAGATAGACCACCCCGGATTCTTTAGCCTTACGGATGAAAGACAGCTCACTCTCAAGTCCTTGGTCCATGGGGTCCACATCAGAGGCTGCGTGGTCCTCAAAGTGGGTCCCCGAAGTGCTTGCCTGAGTAGTAGTGGACCCCAGTGAAGACCTATAGTTAGACATGAGTGGGACCCCCAAAGAGTAGACGCTTCCATTGGGGCCAACAAGCACCCTTGAGTATTCCTCATCTTCGTCGGAGGAGTCGGTTTCTCTCTCCTCATCGCTCTCGAGAGAGAGCTCTTGTGCCTCTCTTCGGATGAACTTCTCAAGGCTATCTATTAGAAGTTGCTCAAAGGTCTGGTGGTTCTCTTTGCGCATATCTTTGTAGCCATACCTATTTTAAGCCACAGAGATTGGTTAACGGTGCAGCGACAAGGTTGACACTATGATGGATGATCTTAGGACTGGGAAAGTATAATATAAATCCAATGGATTGTGGAAAACCGTACTTCATTAGCAACATGGCTGTCTAATCAAATGATGGATGGTGATGGGAGGGGAGTTGGGATGCATCAGAACATGGCATCGCCAATGTTGGGTCTCATGCTCTGTCCATTATTTCTATCATTTAATTGGATGATGATAGCAACACAATGAACTATTTACCCCAAAAAAAACACAAATGAGCTATGGTTTTCCATAGTCCACAGGCCATTGTATACCTCCCTTTGGGTTTCTATTTTGTTTTATGAGTGAAGAAATTGTTACTAAGCACACCAAGTTTCATCAAGGAAAGACTCTATGTAATAGGAATATTTAACAGAGTCTCCACGTAGTAACAAAATTCCAAAGCTTTGTATCTGCATAGCATGCTATGTAATTCAGTTGTGTATGTATCTATATAACATAATACCAAAGCCTTTGTAAATGAAATAAATTAAACCATCTCTAAGTATCAGGGACATTGGAATTCATTTTAAGGATGTCAATATACATGGTTGGTAAATCCCCAACCTTTTGAAAGAGGCAAAAAAGGCTCTATTAGGAAAAAGCAAAAACAGATGTAGTTCCTTATTTAAAATCCACCCAGAAAAAACATACACACTAGATCCAACACAAAACTAAGATAACGGAAAAATATACTGTAATACAATGGACCATATAAAAGTCTTTGAGCATCAAATGTCTACCATGGAAGATGATGAAGAGAATGGGACTGACCATCAAGGTCAAATTCTTGTGGTGGGTCCCACACTCTCAAAAATCACCGCACATGCGATCGAACATTGATAACCAGTTGACCAAAGTGGACTACAAGGAAACCATATTACAATATATGATTATAGTCTACTTACCCATTAGAAATTGAGAAAAATGATACATAAAAAATTCAAAATCCCTATTCACCAACCTGGCAATGCACCGGAAGATGTGGAAACTTTTAGGGCAGACCCGCCGGAAAAGGAAGCGCTCATTCTGAGGCACCACTGGTATTGGCACATACTTAATGCACACAAATATTACCATGGAGTGGATAGCTGGAAGACTGGTTAGAAAATGGCCAAAAATTGCAGGGACACCTCTGACCAGCTCATTATATAATAGTCCAATTCCAGGTGCTCTAATGGTCCCAAGATTGCACCCAAGTTGTAGCATCAAGTCCATTGAGAGCTTTTGCCTCACTTCGGTCTCATACTTGAGCTTGCTCCCATAGTTCCAGATATACATGATCATGAAAAACACAGCTACATACACCAGTATGACCCAGCTCCCGTCTCCCACACTCCACAAGACTGAAGAAAAAAATGTCAATTCGATACCCAAGAAGAAAACCAGGAAGGTGAGCACTATGATGATGTTGATCTGCCATATGAGAAGCATGACTATGGTTACTAACACAGTCGTTACCATCATCACCCCGAGCTCAGCGATGCCTGCCAATCAAATGTATGATTAACCAATCAATCAGTAGACTGTCTCTCTCTCTGTGTTCATGTGTGTACGTGTCTTTCAAGAGATCCTATTTTGTTATAAGAAACAAAAACAAATGCCTAAAACGGTCCATCCTGTCCTAAAACAGTCCATCCTGTGTGCATCAAAAATGGAGGCAATGCAATGCTCATCACTACTCAAAATATTGAATTACCCTTGTAATTTAAAAAGCACTAAAACTATATTATCAACACAAAATATTAAGCCAAACGAACTATTTTCAGGTACAAATTGCCCAACCAACATGCCATTTCAGTATAATTGTGCTACGGTGCTTGTACATTTGTACACGACATAGCTGCTTTGATAGGAATGCCTCATAAAAGCAGCAAACCTTGCAGATATTTAGCAATAAAAGCCCCAACACACTTCATGGATTAAATATAAATCAAAGACTGGTATCTTGGATACGTGTCCAAAATACCAAGCTTTCTTCTCAGAAGGAAGAAACAAGTGTGAGCAGAATTTGATCAGGCTTACCATATGCATTTCCAATCTCATTTATGCTCGTGAAGGTGGTAACTATAACGAGACATAAAACAAGGAGGAACCAGTTGATGACAGGGATATATATCTGTCCCATGAACTTCCGAGAAGTATGAATGATCTTAAGCCTGGGGAAACAGCCGAGAGTTGTCGATTGCTTTATACATGAGAAAGTGGCAGTGGTCATTGCTCGGCAAGCTATTAATGCAGCAACATTGGCAATGAAGAAAACTGGCCAGAAACAACCATCTGGATATAACAAAAGACTGTATTATGATCTGATACCTGTGCACAAAATTGGTAGTTTCTTTTTTCTGTTCTTTCATTGTTGATAAATAACAAATAGGCTGGTTTCTTGATTGAGAATACACTCGAGGTTTTAAATCTTGTATTTCAGAACAGTTTGGGCTGCAGGCCAAAAACAGATATTCTAAGTTGGGTTTCAGAGAAATTTCATTATCAGGAATAATAATAATAATAATAATGCTTGCCTTTTGGTAAAGGTGACTGACCAGAACAGAAAAATCACCATTCCAATGGTCTACAGTAAGAACATTAGCCTATCATGTAGTCATCACTGTCCAACGAAACATCGGATGATGACGATGACATAGCAAGACCATCATTTATGCAGGCCATGAGACACACACACACCTCTCTCTCTCTCTCCTCATACCCATTATTCAGATTCTCTCTTTATGTGGGCCATGAGACCCCTCTCTCTCTCTCTCTCTCTCTCTCTCTCTCTCTCATTATTCGGATAGTGATAGCCCAATGAACGATAATGTAGTCCATAGGATTAAAATATTTTTTTTTCCCAAATAAAGGCAGAAGAGTAGTTAGATGTAGGTAAATATCGGAATCAGGATTAAAAGATTAAAATAAGGCGTCATAAATATCATCAAATTTTATCATGAATAACAGCATGTTTCAGACGAATTTCTAGTCCAACTGAGCCAGTACAGGCTACATCTTTCAAATTTGCATAAATTTATTTGATAATAAGTTTCTTAGAAAGTATGAAAAAAAATGCTTGCCTCATAAAAAGAATGAAAATGAATAACTAGCTTGCCTGGAACAGAAGCAAAGAAAACTTGCTCAGCTTTGGTCTGATTTTCCATAAGAAAAGCAGCTTGGCCAAGGTAACCCAACAGAAGGCATGGGAGAACTAGAAACACAAAGGTAATCTGCAACCACAATACCAAATTAGAAACTCTAACAAGCCTATTAAAGAAATAGGGTTTCAGACTGGACAAAGATCATAAAAATCCAACAAATACAGAAGAGATTTGGTAGCAGTATGTTAATGACAGGTTAGTAGTATGTTAATGATAGTAAAATACAATTATAATCCAATAAACTGAAAAACCATTATGCATTGGATCAACTGAAATGTACATTGATGAAGCGAGAGAGTGGGACTCACCATTATGGTGTTCTCCCACCCAACCCCCCCCCCCCCCTTCCCCCAACAACAAAAAAAAAAAAAGGGAACCCATCATTTCAATGGAAACCGACGGGACGCAATGGACGATGGCTTTTACATAACCCCAATACACTTACCTTACATGGCATTCCAAATCATGCATCCCACAATTCATGAGAATGCGAAACTCGACTAGCAATCAGTCAAAACAGTTGATAAAATACCAAATGATAGATATTGATATTACCTGAACAGATCTCACAGAGAAGTAACAGAGATCTGCAAACATTGCTTCAGAACCTGATATAAAATCAATAGTATTATGATAAAGCCCCCAAAAAGAATCATACATATATACACAACAAAACTCTTATATCCAGTAATAAAATTGAAACAATACAATAAAGCTGGTTTGCGAAAGCTGCCTGTTAAAATCACTAACGCTATAGGTGCAGCATTGCATTGTACTCGATAGAAATAAAAAGGGTGGAGACTTCTTTCCAAACCAATTGTAAAAGGGAAAGATAGAAACCGCAGCAACTTGGGCCCGTGGTGGTCCAAGAATGAAACGCCTAAAAAGCCAAAATATTAAAAAAAAATTTGGAAAACGTCCTAAGAAGTCGGTAAGCAGAGGAAAGGACAAAAAATGAGAAACAACACAAAGTATATAAAAGATGAGAATTTTTTTTTGAAAAACAGAAAAATATTAAAAAACATAAAATATCTATGAAAATTAATTATAGATCATTCATAATTGATTTAGTTACAAAGTGTTGAAGTGGCAGTCAAAGATTGAACCAATTAAAAACTAATTATAATTAATCATACATATATTATGTATACCCCTTGGTGGGAGTTCAAGATTTGGCAGCCTGCCAAGTCCAAGTGCCTAGGGCGAGTCCAAGTCCGAGTCCGAATCGATTCGTCATTTGCCCAAGTTTTTTACACCAGTATATAGTGTTGGGGCATGGCAAACAAAACACCTTTGATCACCATAGGGGAACACAAAGGCAATTTATCATCTAATAATGTCCTTCCAAGCACAGCCTAAGATTTCACAACTATTGGAGAAAAACTGTGCACGTGTGTCCTGTATATGAAAAAAAAAATGTCCATTTTCATGTATAAACTAAAAATCCCCGAGTTTTAACACAATGAAATAGAAATCCCACCACTTTCAAATTTATATATGCATTTATCTAAGGGGAACCAAGGAAGGGTTCCACCAGAAACTTTAGTACTAAAAATCCAGGAAATGTTTTTGCGAACTTCTAGAAAAATTCAAATATATTGTAGCTATGCTGTTTGGAATTCCATTATTTTTATGATTTTTCAATGAAGGCAATCTTGCTTATTATATTCTATATGTTGATCATTAGAAAACTCAAGGTTTTTCCTTTTAGGTAGATCTCCATCAAAAACAAGGGAAGAACACTTTTTTAAGTTGGTATAATAATCGCCCATCATTTCCTAGGATAGCCACAACTTCAATGTACTGTGGTTTTCCAAAATCCATTGAATTCTAGCACACTTGCAACTTTGACTAAAGTTAGAGCCCAGTGATAGAACTATCACCTGTAGCACACAAAAAACAGCCTCCAAGTGACATCCAGGCCCTAGTCGAATTCCTCTTGAAGAAATAGTAGATATGAAGAGGATTGAAGGCCCTCAAAACACTTCTGTCATGCTTCACAAGGTTGTAGACACCGGTTGTTCCAAGGCAACAAAACCATACAAATAAAGCAGGGCCAATTGCGAGCCCCACTTTGCTCGTTCCAAACCTCTGTAAGCTGAACAAAATTACAAGAAATGCAACCGAAATCATCACCACGTGATCTGCAGAAATATAAGGAAAGAGATATAATAAATACAATGGATGAGAAAAGAAACGTATAAATCATCATTAAGATATATAGACACTAAAAGAGCATTCAGTCAAGGTGTAAATTATATGCATCCCCACAGATCAGGATGGTGATAACCTCTAATAAATACATTGGATAAAACAAAGAAATTCATAAATCCTCATTAAAATCTACAAACACTAACAAGCGTTCAGTCACAATGTATTGCATCTAATTATATGTGTCCCCACAGATCAGGATGGCGACAGACAGTCAAAAAGGCAGATTCGGCCGCCTAGATACCTGGGCAGCCTTATAGTGTCTTTTCTTTTTCTTTTCTTTTTTTTTTTTTGTTGGTGGGGGAGGGGGGGGAAGAGAAAGAGTCATGCATGCAATGGAGGGAAAGAGAGTGTCCCATAAATGTGGAGAAAGGGAGTGCAATAAATGCAATAGGGAGAAGTGCGTGAGGGAGAGACTGAGAGGACACGTACTATATATATAGAGAGAGAGAGAGCAAGAGAGAAGCCCTATAGACATGAAGAGAGAGAGAGAGTCATAAATGCAATGGAGGAAATGAGAATGAGTCATAAATGGGGAGAGAGGGAGTGCAAGAAATGCAATAGAGAGAAGTGTGTGGAGGAAGAGGGAGAGAACACTTATTAACAGAGAAAGAGAAGCGTGTGCATGTATTTATTTATTTTGGGGGGGGGCTGGGAGGGGGTGCCATAAATGTGATGGAGAGAGTGAGTGAGTGCAATGAAGAGAGAGAGCACACAATAAATGCTATGGCCTCTGTCTTTCTCTCATTGTTTTTCTTTTTTATTTTTTTTCTTTTTTTTCCCTTTTTCTTGCTTTCTTAAGCCAAGGAGCCCACCTAGGTGCCCAGATGCATGCCCGTCTAGGGGCCCCTGGCTTTGGAAAGCTGCCTGGACCGCCTAGGCAGCGCACCAAGGCTGCCAGTTGGGCTGAATTTCTCATCACTGGTGACAACCAAAATCTCGAATCTGAGTTTTCCAAGGAACTAGTTTCATACAATTTAAGCTTTGATCATAAGTAACAGATCAAAAAGATTTCTGATTCATATCAATCACAAATGCTAAAAATAATCATGCAAGAGGCCATCAATAAACTTTTAGTATTGATTACAAGTTCTAATAACAATATTCCCATAAGGCTCATTTGCATTTAAGTCCGACTGAGCAGAACGCTTGGCATAAAAGAAAACATGAAAGCACCAAATATCTGGACAAGTTTTCACATACAAAGAATAGTTAGCTACTTTCTAGATATTTTTAGCAGGGAATAACAAATGATAGCCTTCAAGAAATTAACTAAAACTGCAAAAGTATTATG